GATGTTTTATTTTACCCCATCACACAAATACAGTGGCAAAGTATGACAGAGACGTAGCTCCCACAGTGCTGTGCCCAGGAACACATTCCACAGCCACCCAGCCCACAAATCTCCCTGCCAGCCTGGACTAGTTTGAGATGACTCACTTTCCCACTGATGGTCCACTCCCCATCACTTCCTCTTCTGCCCACTGCTCCCAAGGGCCAGTGTCAGGACTGAGCCTGACAGAGAAGAAATAGTTTGGCTGGGATGTCAGAGGAGACTGATGTCATAGGGAAAGGAAGAAAACCAGATGGGCAGGTTCAGAGGATGTTTTATCTCTACTGTTAATTGTTTTATTATTTTTTTTATAGGGCTCTGCCCAGCTCCCTATTAGGAAGTAAAAGGCTTGCTGTGGGAAATGCATTAACTCTTAACAGTCTGCCAAGGTTAAAGGCTTCTTTTTTAATCTGAAGACAAGCCCATTGGTGCCATACTTTTTTTTCCCTCCCCCCTTTAATCCTCACTCGAGGACATGCTTAAAGAGAGGGGGAGAGAGAGATTTGTTGTTCCACATACTCATGCACTCACTGGTTGATTCTTTTATGTGCCCTGACTGGGGATCAAACCCACAACCTTGGTGTATCTGGATGATGCTCTAACCAACTGAGCTACCCTGCCAGGACTGAAGTTCCTAATATATTTTTAAAAATATATTTTTACTTCTTTTTAGAGAGGAAGGGAGAAGAGAGAGAAATAAAAACACCAGAGCGAAACATCCATCAACTGCCTCCTGCACACCCCCTACTGGGGATCGAGTGGACAACTGGGCATGTGACATGACCAGGAATCCAAGCAGGGACCTCTTGGTGCATGGGTTGACACAACCACTGAGCCACATCGGCGGCCAGGCTGCACTCCCTAATATTTTAAGTGAAAGCTTATCCGCGCAGGAAGGACAGCCCTAACCCATTTATCTGACTCCAGTGTCCATCCACCATCATTAGGTCATGCACCTAGAATTCTGTTTTCAGTGGAGAGGGCACCTGGAGCCTAGAGCCATCACGCTACTTACCCTTCCTTCCTTATGTCCTCCACACATATCTGAAATCATCTTCTGTCCCCTGCAGGTCATTGTCATCTGCTTTTCCCCCATCCCAGAATGCTACCACTGCCTAACCAGGTCTCCATGCCAGGAACCTGGAAATCAACCTGGACTGCTTCCTCAGTCGCCATGTCCAATCTATGTCCAAGTTCCATGACTTCCTTTCTGGATAATGTAGTTTTTAACTAAGGAATCTATGAGATTACAGGAGGGTGCTTACCCTGCAAGTAAATAGAAGTACTTCCTACGCTGACCCCTTAAATTGTCTTTCCTTTTCCCCTAAGTTCCCCATAATGGTAGCTACGGCCACATCTCTCTCACTTCTCCTTTCCCCTACTATCCTGCAGCTGCCCTCTGGTCAAATTAGCTCTCGGTTTCCTCCCCAACTCCCGAATCTCCAGTCCCCTCAGTTGCAGCTTCCGACAGAGGTCCCATCCCAACATAACTCCTTAAAATCCTTCAATGGTTACTCACTACCCTCAATAGAGCCCAAACTCCATAATATGGTTAGTCTACTAGGCCTTGAAGCCCCACCCCCTTTCTCCCTCCTTTCCCCCTGCCTCCCCCCTGCGTGAACTTGCCCTAGTCATACTGTAGGGCGATGGGACTGCCCCTGGTCTGCCACCTTCTCTTCTATCCAGGCAATCATTCATACTGTCCTTTTTGCCTGAAAAGCCCTTCCCTTCTTCCCTATGGTTAATTCCTACTGTTCTTTCAGGGCTCAACCTAAACACCTCCTGGAGGCCTTCCTTATAATCTCTTAGACTGCATTAGATGTTCTCACAGCAGCTGACTCTTATCACAACTGTGCTCTAAATGACTGAATAGCAACTTAAACATTTTACACCTTGAGGAAAGAATTATATTACTGTATGCCATGGACTTCATACAAGGCCTAAATTATAGCAAGCCCTTGATGATGCTGAATAACTAAAGTGAGCAAAAGCTCAAAAGGGTGTCCCTGCCTAGGGCTTGGGACCTTAGCAGACAATGGAGCCCATGGGCCCCTTGAGCATGAAGCAATACTTTTGGCCTCGTTTTGTGTTCTAACCTGCAAAGGTTAGCACCTGGGCTCATCAGAACGTAAACCCACCTTCGGGGTTCCATGGATTATGAGAAATACCTCCTAGCAATTCAGGTGTGTTCCTTCTAATACAGGAAGGCTGTACTTGCCACATCCCCGTATCTGGGCACAACATGTTCTAGGCTAGGTATGAACCCCTTTGGTAACTGCACAATGCAAGATTTTGCACAATACAAGCTGAACCATTACTGTTCATAAACAGTCTTCCACCAAGGGTCCTAGTAGGTCACTTAGCTGACTCCATTTATCTCTCTCCCTAGGAGACTACTCAATTGTCTCCAATAACTTTTTTTTTTTTTCCTGGCACGTAGGAGTGGGAGAACTCAGAAGGTGCTGTTAAGCGCGGTAGGACGTGGCTCAGGGGTTGAGCATTGACCTAGGATCAGGGAGATGGAGGTTTGATTCCCAGTCAGGGCACANTTAAGCCCGGTAGGACGTGGCTCAGGGGTTGAGCATTGACCTAGGATCAGGGAGATGGAGGTTTGATTCCCAGTCAGGGCACATGCTGGGTCTGGGGGCTCCATCCCCAGTTAGGGGCGTGCAGAAAGCAGCCGATCAATGAGGACTCTCTCATCATTGATGTTTCAACTCTCTCTCTCCCTTCCTTTCTCTGAAATCAATAAAGATATATATATATTTTAAAAAGGTGCTGTTAATACACCCCCAAAATGAGGAGTAATCTGGACTTTAGGATGCCTTTAGGGTATTAAGATCCTATAAGGCTGTGTACTTAGACTCAAGATCACATTTGACCAGGGCTCTTTTCTGCTTGTCTTCTGAAGCCCAGCAAAGAACATCTAGAAGCTTTATGCAATCCAGAACACAGCAGACAGTCCTGATTGTTTTATTTTTGAAATAACTTATTGTGTTTTATTCCAATTATAAAAGAAATACCTGCTCATTACAATTTGATAAATGCAGAAGAGCATAAATAAAAAATAAAAATATAGAAGTCATTTCCATCAAGAGATAATCTCCACAAACATTTGGAAGGGTATTATCTACCATGCTTTTTTGTTACAGGCAATGATTATATATTAATCCTCACCCAAGGATATTTATCCATTGCTTTTTAGAGAGAGTGGAAGGGAGGGAAGGAGGGGGGGATAGAAACGGAGAGAGAAACTTCCATGAGACACACTGATTGGCTCACATCCATCGGTTGCCTTCCGCACTCACCGCGGGAATGGGGAAGGAGCCCGCCACCCAGGCACAAGCCCTCGCCTGGGGTCAAACCCGCGACCCTCAGGTGCGCGGGCAGACGCTCCAACCACTGAACCACACAGGCCAGGGCTCTAAGCAATTGTAAAATGTGGACGGGGCGGCCCAGAGGACTACTGACCTGAGGCTGGCGGCCGCGATGGCCCCCCCCCAGCCCGGCCGTCGGGGACTCGTTCAGGCGCAGCGGGGTCAGCGGCCGCCTGACTCCCTCCCGCCCTGCGAGGCCCCGCGCAGTGACAGCTCACAAACGCCTGTGAGGCAGGCGGCGAGACAGAGGCAGGAAACTAAGGCCCAAGGAGCCTGAGTCGCTCGCCCACGTCCACGCGGTGAATTGCTTCGGTGAACTGAACCTAACTGTAGCCGGACTCCCCCGCCTCCCTTTTGGCGCCTAGGGGTCCGCCTGCACATCCAGGGGTCCGCTGGCCTACGCGCACGCGCAATCCTCGCAACCGCGTCGCCTTTAAGAGGATTCCTTTTGCTTCCTCCGACCCCTCCGCTTCCGCTCCGCGTTCCCACAATGCTGTGCGGCTGAGCGCCTCCGAGCCCGCGGGGACGCTGCGGGGGGACCCCGGCTGAGGAGGAGGAGGCGGC